TCAGAAGCACCAGTACTGAGGTTCCAGCCCATGGCAGCGTGCTGGGAAGTGGGCCTCTGAGAGTGGCTAGATCCTGACAGGTGTGACTTCATCGACTCATGGATTCACACCAGGATGAGTCTGCAAGGAGGGATTTCTTGTCAGAAGAAACACCTCTTTGCTTCCCTGGCCAGGAGGTGGGCGCTGCTTCCCGCTGTGGCACCCGCCTCCCACAGGCCGGCATGCGGGCCATGTCCTCTAATCACACAGAAGTTACTATGAATTCATTAAAGAGCTGTCACTGGAACGCTTCTGGTTTTATAGAATGCCAACTGCTTTATACATGAAGCTAATAAACTTACATTTCATAAAAGCCTTCGTTTTCACATGAGCTTTCTCTGAAGCCAACAGAACATACATGAAGGATGCTAGTGTTGCAAAGACTGAGCTCTGTTTGCCTGCTCTGAAAGTGCGTGCTCTGAGGTGGAAGGTCAGAAGAAACGGTGCAAACCTGAGTCGGGCAGGGCTTCCGTTTGTTCATATTGTGACCTGCCATGAGGTGACAGCTGTTAGAAAGTCTTCATCCAAAGGCTTCCAACAAATAGTGTTCCTTCTGCCTGTTGGGCCACACAGAATGTATTTAATCCTCCTTCACACAGATGTTCCTCAAATGTCTGAGAAGTTTTTATTTCTCCCAAGGTCTTCTCAAGGGTAAATACCCCCAGATTTTCCCTCTGTGTCACAGTTCGTGGTTTGACGTCATCCAGCTAGACACTTCTTCAGTCACTCGCTCTGCCAGCAGTGAACTAAGAGGCAAACCGGGAGGAGACCCAGGCAGGAAGCAGAGAGGCCAGGTGACTCTTGTCAGACTGGTGCCACTCACAGGAAAAGGATGTGATTCTTTTCTGCTTAAAAGCGAATTTCCAGGAACTACTCTTCAGGTGCCCCCAAATTCTATTGAGGGACACACTGAGCTGTTAGGTTATTCCTAGAAGTGGGGCAGTATACAGTGGTGGTCAAGGCATAGCCTGTCACCCACTCACCAGCTTTATAAGACTGAACGTGGCTGCTTTGTTTCCTTCCATGGAAACTAAATGGTAGGTAAGCAAATGTCCCTTGGGCTATCAAGAATCAACTGGGATAATGCAGGGAAAGCACTCCAGTCAGTGCCCAGCCCGTGATAAAGTCTCAATAATGTTTTTAAGTAAATTAATTTATGTTCTCAAAATATAGTTTATATTCTCAAAGTCACTTAAAGATCTATGTTGAGAAGTCTATTTATGAATATAGTAGCTAGCAGGATTAGAAAGAACAATAACAATGGTAATTTAATAATATTAACAGTAATGTGATGTTCTATTTCTCAATTCTAAATATATTTTGATTTTAAAATTGTACTTTTACTAACTCAACAGATAAATGACTTTAAGGGCAAGAATCAGTTGGCTAACCCAAGCATTCTGGGACGGAACAAGCACGGCTGGGTTGGGGAAGCAGAAGCCGCAGGAGGGAGGGGGCGGAGGTGTGCGCTGCCACGCGCCTTCCCCCCCCCCCCCCCGGAGGCCAGCACCGCATGAACGGTTCCACTCACCCTACAGAGGGACTTGCTGGCTCATGGGCCAACTCTAGGCTTAGCATTCTGAGCATTTGCCAGAACATTTTCCAAAACAACTATCACTTCACATTTCCACCAGGAGACATCAGGCTTCCAGCTCCTCCTTTCTCCAGGTTACCTGTTTGGCTCTTGCTGTCCTACTCAGGGTGAAGTGTGTTCTCATAGAGGACCTCATCTGCATTTGTTTGTGACACACTTTGGGAAGGACAGGATAGAGATTGTGACTGCAAAAACTATCTGAAAATGTGACCCAGATTCTCAAGTGTTTGTCAGCACATGCAGATGACGCCTCCACGGCCATCATTCTGGCTATCCTGGTCAAGGGGCCAAAGTGTCCCGCATGGGATGTGCGAAGATTCCTGCGTCTGTGCTTTCGGGGGGAGCACTCAGGTTGGTGACTCCTTGGGTTGACTAAGAGAGCAGAATCCACTGCCAAAGCCTGAACGATGCAGTGATTTTAGTTGCCCATGTCACAGAACTCTGTGGTGGACAAAGGCATCTTTGTACAATAAATATCAAATTGTGTGAGAGCCTCAACATTGGTATGTAACAGATCATCTAAGAAATGGATCACAGGATAGTGAAATGGAGTCTTGCAATTTAATCAGTGTCACAGACTTCATGTATCAACCCGTGTCAAGAGATAATTGTGAAAGTTGGGGAGACATGGGGAGTTATATTTTTCCTACCTGCTTCTGTGTATGTTTAAACATTTTAGAAGGAAAAGCTTTAAGAAGTGAAACATGTTTGAACAAGGGAAGAGCCAGTAAGAATGGTTGGCAAGGGAGGATCAATCTATGAGGATGGGGCTCAGCTATCTCTTGGTAAAAGCATGTCAGAAACTGTAATTCCTGAGACTGAGGCTCAGGAGAAAGCTCTTTGTGTTCACAGGAAGACAAGAAAGGGCACCATTTTTTTTTTAACAAAAGGTTTTGATGTAAAGCTCTTGTCTGGTAGTTTTAGTCTGCTGGGGATGGTTAGTCAAGGATGTCAGCTGAGCACGACGTTGTGGCTGCAGCTGAGGAAGGCACAGAGGTCAGACCCCGATGTGAGAAGCATGGGTGGGTGCGGGCTGAGGGCAAGGGACTGGAGTGGTGTGGAAGCACAGGATAGCAGCGTGTGACATGAATGGGGACATCGTCTGTAGTGCTGGAGCCAACTGTGAATTCACTGTGGTACCAGCTGAACTGATGATGAACTTTAAACCGACTGTGACCCGGAACCCCAACACACACAGCAGAACTGGCAGGCCAGTTCACGGTTGCTCTACTCACATGGACATCAGCTCATCCATCCTTCTTGGGCCTCTGGAGTCCCACCCACCAAGGGCAGAGACAACAGTGTAATTCTGGACCAAAAATCTAAGATATGACAGAGCAGGGGGCAGTAGTGGAAATCAAATTTATTTCCTTTTTTTGCAACTTGACACCCAACATTCAAACTTAGTTAATTCAATGACCTCTTGTCAACTGCCTGTTCCTAGTGGTGTTACCCCTGAGACCTCTTTCAAGGTGGGTGGGTACATGCAAAACTTAGCTAAAAAGAATATTGTACACAGGACCACAAGGAGCCCCACGCATACTGGTGGAGTCTGGGACTCACTCAGACTGGACCCCGAGCTGCAGGATCTGGCTGAGCTCATCCCTGGCCCTACGATGCCCAGGAAGATCAAAGGGCAACTCGTCCTGATAGAACTGCACATACTGGGGCGAGATCAGGCACTTCCCTAGCGAGAGATGCCATGCTGGACAAGGCCCCAAGGGCTATCAGTGCCCTGACACCAGGAAGCTGCAGCAGCTCCCTGATGGGCCCCGAGGAGCAACTGACAGGATCGTGCTGGGAACTGGGGGTGATGGGCGCGAGCCAGGAGGGCCTTCTTTGCTGTTCCTGCCCTCCCTCCATCCCAGCTGCTGAAGGGTTTCTTGGTCCTCACCTCAGTGTCGTTTGCCCTGGATGGAGGTGATGGCTTGGTAACTGCCCTACCACTGACAGCTGGGTGACCCTTGTACTGTGAGCGACTGCTAGTGGCCCAGGAGCAGGAAGGAACAAGCAGGGAAGAGAGATTCAGATTGTCCGGCAGGGAAACACCAATGGCAGGGTTAAAGCCAGCTTCTGAAACATGCCACTGTGTGCCAGGAACAGATTCTCAGGTGGCACCCACGGGGTTCCCAGGCTTTACTCCACAGGCCTCACATCCACAGCAGCAGCCTCTCAAACACGCCCTGGGCAGCCTGTCCACGAGTGCAACACTCTGTTCACTGACATTTACTTAAAACTCCAGGGTGGGAGAAGCATGAGCCCGATGAAGAGGCTCCGTAGGAGGGCAGCCAGGCTGTCACACTGGGCTGGTGCCTGGATGTCGGTGTCGCTCCCGGCTGGCAGGAAGAACACACGACAAATTCTGACGGTGTGCAACCTTGTCTTTATTTGTCTCCGCGTGGGCCGCGCGAGGCCTCTGCTCTGCCACCAGTCCTTTCTCACCGGTGGACTTTCTCTATCTCTCTCGTGCTTCTCTCTCGTGGCGGGAGAGGCACTCACTTTTATAGGGTAACAGTGGCCAATCAGTTCAAAGCGCGCGATGCGGGCTGATTGGCTAACATCAGTTGTTGCTAGGCAGACTATCTTACAGAGCGGGTTGTTTAAGTTGCCAGGGCAATCAGGGGGCAGGAAGCAGGCGCCAACTTGGCTCACTCGATGGGAGGGGTAATTTAGCTCAGGCTTTGCTCTTTTCTACAGGCCTCACGTCCGCCAAGTAAGGCGACCGGGCTCGGCCGTGGCTCCCAACATCTCCCCCTATTTTATTTATTTTGAATGAATGTACGCATCGCAGCCCGCCCTGGATTGAGTACAGAGGCTTATGCCCTGTGTTGAGGCCCACCGTAGGCCCTTGGCTTGGACCCTGGTCGGCCGTCCCCGGGTCCACCAAGGCCTTGAGACCCTCGTCCTTTTTCCAGGGCCAGGAGTGAACTGGACGGAACCTGGATGCACATAGGCATGCACTCATGCCCCTCCGTGTGATCCCCTCGGAGAGGCATCTAGATCTGGGCAGATTCTAGTAATCCAGCGGCTTTCGTGCAGTATGGGGTAGGGCCTGGCTTAGGTCGAGTCGTGCTGGGGAGGCACGCTCTTACCCGTCATTGACTCACCTACCCTGCTGTGCGGTGTCAATAGGGAAGGAATGCAGAAGACCCGCCACATCTAGACCCGGTCGTAGGCCAGTCGAGCGAGCCATGCGTAGGCCTGGGGGTCATTGTGCCCATCACGGGCTGCTGCCAGGGCCGCATGGGCAACCAGGCGTACTTGACACCGGGCCGCCGCAAGGCACCCATTAATAAATGATGTGACCCATCGGAGCAAGCATGGTCCTATAAGCAGGAGCAAGAACAAGGAGCATAGAGGGCCTAACAAGGGTAGCACATAGGGGAGCAAGCCGTTCCAGGCCCCCAAAAAGGGATTGTCCTGTAGTTTTTTTAGGGCTCATCTTGTTGTTGGGTCTGCGGTTGGCCTCTGGTGGAACAGGCCTGATCTTTAGTCGAGGGACTTGTCGCGTCAACCTCTCTGGGACCCACAGTGGTTCTCGTCCCGGTCCCTGCGGAAAGACACAAACCGCGCCTCGGTTCCAGCTAACCACCGGATCCGGGCCCATCCATTGTCCCGTCAGGACATCTTTCCATCTAACCCATCCTTTATTTTTTGGGGGATGGGGTACAATGTGCCATAGCTGGGGAGCAATTTTCACTGTTTAAGTTTAAAAAATTGTATGTGAATAATGCCATAGATAACCGCGCCTTTGGAGGCAGGCCTTGGCTTACTCCCCCTTTTTGTTTTTTTTTATTTTATTTTATTTTTTTTATTTTTTTATCGGTACCAGGGATCGAACTCGCGATTGCCTGCTTACAAGGCAGGCGCTTATGCCGCTGAGCTAAATCCCCAGCCCCTGTTTCCTCGACCGGTGTTTTTCTCAGCCTGCTTGGCAGAGTAGCCGCCCATGAAAATACCGTCCGCCCCGCGGCGCGACGTCATAGGATGGCGGCCGCGACAGAGTGGAACGGGGCGTCACTTCCTGTACCAGCTGAGAAAAGGGGGGGTCCCCTGTAGCGGCCTCTCGGCGGGGAACCGCTTTTGGAAATGAACTCCAGGGCGGAGCGGATGGCTCTCTATCTCCTCCCCGCCAGGGGGCGCTAGGGGGTCCTTTCTCCTCTCTTTGCTTTTTTCGGGCGGCGCACGCACACAATTCGCGGCGCAACTCGGCATAGGGGTTTTGGGCCTCTGGGCTTTCTGCCCCACCTTTTAGTTTCTCCTCGCTAACTGAGTCGGAGGACTCCAGAGCTCGGGTGTTTTCTATCTTTCCCTGGATCTTCTCCCCCTGGATAGACCCTTCCCGAGAGCATTTCGATTTTGCCTGCTCAAAAGCCTTGCGTGCGTCCATGATTTCCGCGTCTCTAACTGCCGACGGGAACCCCTTCCCCTCCCCTTCAAGACACGCATGTATCATTTCCCACAGGGGGCGAATAGCCGGCGAAATATCGCCTCCCAATTCCGCCGAGGCGAGGTCCCCGCCTAACTTCTCCCATGACGGCAGGTTTAAATGCCCTGTGGGTAAAAACCAGGGAGCCACCCTATCTACCTCCGCTATGAATAGTTCCAGTGTTTTTTGACCTACCCTGAGGTCTCTAGATTTTAAAAGCTTCCTAAGGGCCTTTACCAAGGGCCGCGCCTCCGCGCTCGGTAAATTACCCATCTTCAACCTCCGAGGGCTGTTACTCACCAAGTGTGACTTAGAGAACCCGTCACCTACGCGTGAGCCTGAGGGGAGTCTAAAAGCCCTGTAGGTGCGCGCCACCCAGAGCCCAGGCTTATCCCCCACTCACCTGTCCGGCAGCACCACACTGGAGCGTTGCACACCACCGAGGGGAGTGATCAGTTCCCCGTACGGGCCACCAGATGTCGGTGTCGCTCCTGGCTGGCAGGAAGAACACACGACAAATTCTGACGGTGTGCAACCTTGTCTTTATTTGTCTCCGCGTGGGCCGCGCGAGGCCTCTGCTCTGCCACCAGCCCTTTCTCACCGGTGGACTTTCTCTATCTCTCTCGTGCTTCTCTCTCATGGCGGGAGAGGCACTCACTTTTATAGGGTAACAGTGGCCAATCAGTTCAAAGCGCGCGATGCGGGCTGATTGGCTAACATCAGTTGTTGCTAGGCAGACTATCTTACAGAGCGGGTTGTTTAAGTCGCCAGGGCAATCAGGGGGCAGGAAGCAGGCGCCAACTTGGCTCACTCGATGGGAGGGGTAATTTAGCTCAGGCTTTGCTCTTTTCTACAGGCCTCACGTCCGCCAAGTAAGGCGACCAGGCTCGGCCGCAGCTCCCAACACCTGGAGGCAGTGCCCTGGGAGGCCAGCAGGATAGAGATGCGGCTGAGTGCAGGTAGAGCTAAATCATTTGTCCTGTTCCTTTCAAGGACAGCAGACGCCCACTACCCAGGAATAGCAGGGCTCTCGCTTAATTCACATGATCTGTTCCTTCCTTTAACAGCTTTTAAGGGCATCCCATTATTTTCCATATTTTCTTTTTTGCAAAGCTCCAGACAGGATTTGCCCATGAGATCCATGCTTGGTGTTCTTGTCAGAGACCATTTCAGCAGCGACCAGAACCTGAGACTCCCCTGAGGGTCCTGTGTCCCGGGGACAGACCTCAGGCTTCCCATTCTCCTCAGAGGCATTCTGTGGTCAGTACTGCTGTCCAGTACTTCCCTACAGGAAGTCAGTATTGGAGGAGGACACTAGACACAGGAACATGGCTGACCAGTAACTGAGGGCTGAGGGGCGGGCCTGTCACCGAGCTGCCTGCCACACCCACAGCAGTCCCGTCCACTTCCCCACCTGCATTTTCCTTTACAAGGCTTTTCCCCAAGAAGCTTTCCCCTTGCTTCACCGGGCGGGACATGGTGCCCCTTTGGCCTTGGAGCCCTTGGCTTGGATCACCCTGCTTTTGCTGCCTGCAGTCTGATGCCCAGCCTGGAGTATTCACCCAAACCTGGGTGTCTGCACCACACCACATGTGATCAGATCTACCTTGTCTCAATGTTTTCCCCTCACGCGAGTCAGATAGAATAAAGTCCTGTTTTAGGAACAATGAAAGGCATATTTGGTTTCCACTAGCCTGTACTCCATTCAGAGAGGCTTATTCCATCAGTGAAAAGCAACAGTATTCAACACTTACAAAACTGAGTGTAAAATAAACAGAATTAAAACTATAGCTGGGCAGGATGGCACACGCTGCAGTACCAACACTCTGCAAGGCTAAGGCAGGAGAATTCGAAATTCAAGCCCAGCCTGGAAACTGGGCAACTCAGGGAGATCCTTCCTTAAAGTAAAATCTACATACAGAGCTGAGGATGCAGCTCAGTGCAAAGGCTTTCGGGAAAAAGAAAGGAAGCTCCACTGAGCACGGGGATCAGAGGACAGCACTGCTGGCTCCCGTCCCTCTGCATTTCTCAGTTTCATGCATCGCAACTGCCCCCACCCGCCACGCCAGCCTAAAGACAGGCTGCCTCTCTTCAGCCCACCTGACTCATCACAGCACACCAGCTCTCCTCTGCACGCCGGCAGCCCTCGAAGCAGAGAGGTTTTACTCACTGACACTCCTTTGCTTGTTTTTGTCGGTGTTTTGAATTGTCCTGCATTTACATCTAGAAGTCTACTGGAAAGAAATCAAGACATTATTGTGTCAACGAGTACCTTACATGAATATACTTACTTTGCCTTACAAGTGGAATCTTGCATTTTATTTATGAGACAAGGTGTATAGTTTTTAAAGACTTGCTGTATAGTTCAGGCTGTCCTTGAACTATGTACTACAGGCTAGCCTCAAACTTGAGGTAATCCTCCTGCCTCAGCCACTTAAGTGCTAGAATTACACGTGTGGACCATCATGTCTGATTGGTTGATTTCTTCATGCCTGGTTTAAATCTATTATTTTAAAAATTTCACACGGACTGTTTCCAGTAACTTTCCTCAGGCTACAGTGTAGATGCCAAGGCTGTCACGCCCAGCCAGTCCTCAGTCCCAAGGTTACCACCAAGGGAAAAGCAGAAGAGTGCTTTCAACTGCTCAGGTGAGGACAGAGGGACAGGAGGAGGGGACCTGGGTCTGGGGCTTCCGAAGCCTCAGGAGCAGCAGTGACAGACACGCAGGCTGGTACAGGGGTTAGGGATGGGGTGGTATAAAACAGCAGGATCATTCAGTCTTGTGCTCCTTAAAATAGCTGCACTTTAAAGCAAGTCGCACTGCAAAGAGAGCAGATGCTAAGGTCAGGCTCAGGCTTCAGACGTGGGAACTTCTCAAGCCCTCCCTTTTCTGAGTCTGTTGTCTTCAAAAGCCGGACACAGAAGGCAACAAAATCACTTTTTTCCTTCACCAGTGCCACTTTTTAATTTGGTAGCTGCAGCAACACCCATGTTTGCCTCAATTCGGTAAAATAGCTTATACGTGGGAAATGACTGTAACCACAGCCCCGAGGAAGGATTGGGACAGTGCAGGTTCCAGCCCTGCTACCCTCACAGCCGCTGTCTCTCGGGGACACGGCCAGAGGGGCACTTTCTCTCACCACCTGGTCAGAGGCACCGGCCCAGAAGTGACCCAAGGCTGCCTGCATGGAAGCACTTGCGATTTTTCTAAAGGGTTGTCACAAAAACGCAGCCTATTTTTAGAAATGTTTCTTTGATGCAAAGAAAAATGTTGGCTATTCCCCTTATGTTTATAACAACATTCCAATTTAATCTTCAGTTTAAAAATTCCTTAATTATTGCCCAACAGTGCTGTGTTGATTGCATAATTCCACTTCTTTTAGACTAAAAACCTGCACTTTTCTGTGTTTGTGTGTGTACCATCACCTACAGTAATGACATCCATTAAAATGATCAAGAATAATTTTAATCCTGCTCTCAGGGAAAGTTATGAACATAGATAATAGAAAAAAGTCAGTTGTAAAGTCACTTTTCTCAGTTTATTACTGGATTACTCAGCAAGTCTTCTGGTACAAGCAACAGAGCTGGGAAGGAACATGGTGTTGTACCGGCGTCACCTGATTCTGTCTGCAGGTTCTTCTCAATTGCAGGGCCACGTTATCCATTACTGAAAGACACAAACGTGCACACACACAAAGCCTCCCAACAAGAGGACCAGACAGAACCTTTCCTAGGTGACAATTAGAATCTAGCACAGATAAAGGCCTCTCAATCTAAACGCTAGTTCTCATAGGCACCACTGGAGGACCTGGAAAAATAAATGCCCGAACCACATTTTTTTGTCCAGTCGTATGTAAGAATCTAGCATAAATTAAAATCAAAAGCAAGTTCGTACTGAGGCTTCATCTACTACTTATTTAACCACAGTCATTTACTTCTCTTTTGTCTATAATAAAATTCAAAGTTTAAAGATCAAAATGTCCCACCAGTTTAAATACATAATGTGGAGAAAACATAGCATGTCACTTTATACTTTTACATGCCTCTGACATTTTTATTTTGAGGAACTAGATTGTTCTAATATAGTTAACTTTTCCTCTTATATTTTATAAAATTTAAGAGCATTTAAAAACAAAAGGAGTTTGTTCACTCCTAGACAACAGAACCAAAAAAACATTGGGTAGTTACAAAAGCACACACACATTACTTCTCCTTCTCTACAATTTAGTCATTATAGCAGAATATAAGTTTCAAGCACACAAACTCTCGAGTCTCCTGATGCATCTAGGATTACCGTGTCTCGTCCCACTGGCATTCCTACGTTGGAGCACAGTGTTCTGAGGGTAATTTAGCAGACAGAGAACCCCACAGTTCTTCCTGTTGTCTGTTCAAACATTC